GTTCTTAATTTTGATTATTTTTTTCTTAGCAAAACTGCTCGATTCAACCCCTGCTTTGGGTTGTAGCATATCCTATACGAGACGCACAATCTGGATCAGAGCCTTAGCTCTTATTACCGAAGCGTAACAATCTTATATAGCAGATCCACAATGGCAGCCCCCACTTCCAACTTAAGTTGAGAGGTCAATTGGTTTCTTGTATGCCACCTTATTCAATGGTTCTAATTACTCTTTTGAAAACCCAGAAATGGAAAATTCATAAAACCAGTACATAAAACTGCTGGATGGAACGTCCATTACTGGTCCCGTTATTCCTATGAAAACTGTAGAAAATGAGGGAGCTAGAAAAACCGAAGAAGAATATACTGATGCTGATGGAATGATATTTCATAAACGCAAAAGCTATTAAGTTCTACACTGTGCATATGATCCAACAGAGTACAACAAAGTGTCTAGATGTAAGTCTGCAAACGGAAGTCTGGAAAAACTTAGAGTTACACTATGAGGTAACGGATAGAGTAAAGGAATCCAGAATTATATCCTTTGGAGAGAATATGCAATTTGTTTAGTATGAAAAGAAGGAGAAACTATCTGCTTGAAATTAAATTCTAGATTAACTAATCATAGTAATGCCTTTGAGAACTCTCAGAAAAGAAATTTTCAGAAGATAGCTTGTTTAAAAAAATCCTTAGAATTTAACCTAATAAAAATAGTAAATTTTTCTATAGAACTGTTATGAATAAAAGATCCCGTTACTTATGGATTATCTGATAGGAGCTTCTTGTTTTAAGAAGGAGATGAAATCTCTTTGACTTGTAGAAAATAAGACAAAAGAAAGGACTGGCTTTGAAGTAGTTTTCTAGTGAAGATAAGTTCTTCCGATCTTATAAGTGAGATTAGCACTTGCTGCTAAGAGGTCCAAAAAGTTCTATAAAAAGATAGTGGAACGCCACACGGACTAAAGTTATTAAAAGAAACTTTCCATCTAAAATTAGCAACTTACCTCTAAACGAACCTTGGAAGTGTTTTGTTATAAGTGCAACAAGCCCAGCCAATCAAGTCCACTACCTAAATTGAAAAGAAGTCAAAAAAGAAAAGCGAAGCAGGCATTCCCTACTGCTCTGAGTGATTCAGAAGTTTTCTAATTCTGAAAGCAAAGTGATCAAGAAGAAACTGCAAATATCTGTCTAATGCCCGCTTCAATTACTGACTCTACAGGAAATCAACACTCTGACTTCACACAGAAAGTTGAAAACCACCCAGCAATGAAACGATGCAACGGTACCAAAGCGTTGAAGAAAAGCAATGTTAAGTATTTTATGAACTGGAAGAGTTTTAAGTTACCTATGTTACCTGCGTGGTTTTCGATGTATTATTTAAGGAAAACCCATCTCATTCTTCCTTCCTCAATCCTCGTCCTCTTCAACTTTCCTTCTTTAGTTCTTATTGGTTATGCAAATTCTAAGAATTGCAACCTACACGCTCTATATCTTCTCTCTCTCACAAAGGGACCACGCCATTTGCTGCTGGTCCGTAGCCTCATACTCTTCTCTTTAAACTGCCCACTACTTCGCATCCTTCTTTTCCTTTATTCTCAAGTTGTAAGTCTTCAGTAGTATATCTGTGATGTGTATTTTGGCTTTATGTTAATTAAATATTGAGTGTGTATTATTTCCTCTCTTTCAATTCAATTATGATACAAATTATAGTTAATTTTTAACATTCACATGAATCCTTAACGAAGCCCCTTAAACTGTTCAATTCCGATTCAAATTGAACGACGATTTCAATTCGATTGGTTCATTATAGACGGTTCTATTCCGATCAAAATGAAACTATTAAGCTATGCCTATATGCGATCCGAGCTGTTAATGAATTTTTCATTCTTTAAAACTAATAGCAAACTGATAGACTGAGGAAAAAAAGATGCGGCGACTTATTTCGAGAATTACAGTTCAACTTCAGCTGCATGGGAAATCAAGATTTCCTTAGCAACTATCACCTCGACTTTTCATTTTTTTGACTACATCAACCTGGCCTAGCATTTCTGAATTAACACTAAAGGTAATGCACGCCAACTAATGAAAGGCGCCAATAAAGTTAATAATTTATTCTCAAATTTCTAATTTTGGTCATAATATCTTATTACATGTTTTTAATGAAAATATTATAATTTAAAAGAAAAAATCATCTATATAATGTATAAGTCCAAAAATAATTTAAATTTTCTCATGCAATATCCTTTATTTTGTATGTACAAACTCAAGATAATTATTGCGAAATTTACAAGTAATTAATTTATTATTCATTACTTCATTAAAATATTAAAAATTATTTAACAATACTTTGCATTTGACTAATTTTCATTTAATTAAATTAAAAACTTTTTAAATTTTTAAATCATGTCTCTGGGAGTATTGAGAATGTTATTTGCTTTATTCTGTCTCAATAGTTGCATCCTGTGGCAATAGTCCTATCATCCTATTTGTATTTTTAACTATTACTATATGTTTTTTTATTTAATGTGAAAAAATAAATTTAATCATTTCTACTAAAAAATTAATATTTAAAATTTTGATATTTAACCCACAACGCGTGAGTAATTTACCATCGTAATTTTGTGAAGCAAAAATTTACCTTGTATTGGAACTATTCGTTTTCTATGACGGAAGAAGAATCCTCGAGATGGAAAAGAGTTTATAAAGTTTACACACCTATGTTAAAACTGCCTAGTTCTTGGATGTAGTATTTTAAGAACCATTCTCATTCTCTTCCTCAATCCCTCGTCTTTCGCTTTCTTCTTCAGTTCTTGTTGTCTATGCCAAATTTACCTAAGAAATTTGCAACCTAACCCACTCCTCATACTCTTCTTTCTCACAACCACGCCTTTGCTGCTGGCTGCTAGCCTATACTCTTCTCATTTTTACCCGCATTGCACTACCATCACTCTTTCCTTTATTATCAAAGTTAAGTCTTTCACTATAAAAAATATCTTTGAGTATAAATATTTTTGGCTTGTAATTTAATGAAATACTGAAGGTGTATTAATTTTTCCCTCTCTTTCAATCATATATTGATACAAATTTCTAGTTTAAATTTTTAACATTCACATGAAATCCTTAACAGCCTTGAACTTGTTTTCAATTTTCGGATTCAAAATTTTGAACCGACGATTTCAATTCGATTTGGTTCCATTTAATAGAACCGGTTTTCTTACCGATCACAATGAAACTGTAGCTATGCCTAGTGCGATCGAGCTGTTTAATAATTTTACATTCTAAACTAATGCAATGATAGATAACTCATTCTTAAAAACTATACAAACTGATAGACTAGGAAAAAATGCGGCCGACTTATTTCGAGAATTAGAGTTCGACTTCAGCTGCATGGGAGAATCAAGTTCCTTGCCAACTATCCACCTCGATCTTTTTTTCATTTGTTTTGAGTATTATCAAACCTAGCCTAACATTCTTGAATTACACTAAAGCAAAGCACCCAACTATGGAAAGGCACCAATAGTTAATAATTTCATTCTCGAATTTCTAATTTTGTCATAATATTTATTACATGTTTTAATGAAATAATTACCTATATTTAAAAAAAAAAACATCTTATATAATGTATAAGTCCAAAAATAATTACCAGCGCCTTTGCTGCTGTCCGCTAGCCTCATAATCTTCTTATTTTTACTGCCACTGCAATCCTTCTTTTCCTTTATTCTCAAGTTGAAAGTCTTCACTAGTAATATCTTTGAGTATATATTTTGGCTTTTAATGTTAATGAAATACTGAGGTGTATTATTGATACACATTCTAGTTCAATGATCAGAATATATCCCATCTTTTTCTTTTTTTTTTTTTTATAATTAATTGATGATGATTTTATTGCTTCTGAAATTGAAGGGATTCTTTTTTTTTTTTTTTTTTGACATTTTGGTTGGGAATGAGCTTTGAGTAATTTCTATTGGAGATTCTTGATCAAAATAAGTAACTTTTGCTATATTGATTACCTTGTTTCAAAAGTTGAGCACTAGCAGTAAAAACCATCTTAATATAATTTAGGTGATTAGGATATATGTAATTGCTTAGATACGGATTTATAAACTCCAGACATTCAATTAGTTCTGATGAAATGCAAGTTAATGTAGTTGAGGATTCAAATCAATCCTTGTTCTGTTTAATTGCAGTAATTCATTATGTATGGATTTAGTTTGAATTTTGAATAGTCTTGTTTACAGGCTCTCGGATTTTAAACGGGTACTTATATGTGTTCGGGTTTATTTGTTTCGTATGATTTTATGTTAAACGGGTTCGTGTAGTATTATGGTAATGCAATAATGCAAGTTAAATTTTAAATACGTATGGAACGGGTTTGGGTACCATATTCTATAAACGGGTTCAGACAGGCCATTTTTCATCGGAACTCTCCAACCCTAATTGCTAGCAATATCATTTTTTAGGTTCTAAACTGTTTTCTGTACTCACTTTACTCTTCTCCCTTCGTCCTTTATTTTTTCAATTTTTAAATTAGGATTTGAAATACCATAGCCAAAATGGAAACGAGATTGGCTAGTACATGGCGAATGACCCTGAATGAGAAGAAGTTCATTGAGACTGCTTTGGCTTCGGACCTGAGAATTGACGGTCGTAATCCCCTCGAGTATCGTAAAATAACTATCAAGTTTGGCAGGCAAGTTGTTTCCTTTCAATATATACATATTTTCTTGGTTTTTATACCCTAAAACTAATAGAATGGCAAGTTGGAACCTTCAACAGTAGAACAATGATTTTATTTGACTGGGAACTTTTTAAAGTTCTTCGTAGTCATGGAATTAGGCTTGAATTTATTCTGTGACTTTCACGAAAGAAGGTTAGGAAATTATGTTTTTATTTTTCATTTGTGATGGTAAGTGTGTTAAGATTTCAGATCATTTAAAACTAGATAAAATTTGGCTGCTGTTTGGGATGCAAACTGTTACGTGGGAAAATTGTGATGTTTTCGAATTTTTTTTTTTGGGGTAGTACTTGTTGAGGTATATATGCTTGGAATTTCTTGGATGAGTTGTTATTGCTGAGACTTGGCTGTTGTTTTCTTTACTTGATTGGGGCTCTCTGCTTGCATACATACACATGCTGTTTCTGTTGTTGATTCCTTTTTGATTGAGAATTTGCAGAGAAGATGGATCATCAGAAGTGCTGCTTGGCCATACTCATGTAATGGGTTATGTGACTTGTCAACTAGTTCAACCTTATAGAGACCGACCGAATGAAGGATCACTCTCAATTTTTACAGAGTTCTCTCCAATGGCTGACCCTACATTTGAGCCAGGTCGTCCAGGAGAATTTGCAGTGGAGTTGGGCCGGGTAATTGATCGTGGCCTAAGGTGAATTTTCTTTTGTCTTGCATCAATTTAATTGGAATTGGGTATGAGCACTGCAAACAATTTTACATTTTGAAGGGATGTTAGGATATGTATTCAGTTTATTACAAATTTTTTGACGTAACATTTACCTATTATTGTTTGATAAATTATAGCTATTATTTTTTGATGTCTTCATTGAAGAATATGGGAAAAATAGACACACAAATAAATGTATACGTAAATTTATGTCCTCACAATAATGTCAAATTTATCTTGGGTGAAATACATATTTATTTTGATGGGATACATATAAGTAGGGGCTTTTTGAAAAAAATGCAAGAGTTTAAATTGGAGTTCTCTACTAAAATGTATTCAATTGTAAATGATCTGCAGGGAAAGCAGGGCTGTGGATACAGAATCACTTTGTGTTCTTGCTGGGAAGTTAGTATGGGCCATTAGAATTGACCTTCACATCTTAGATAATGGGGGGTAAGCTATAATCGCTTCTCTTTATTTTTTCCTTTAGCTTTTATTTGACTTTTTTTTTTCTGCTACTGCTAAATCGTTATTATCATTTTTGTATTTACTTGCTTTTGTGGGAACAGAAATCTTGTTGATGCTGCCAATATTGCTGCTTTAGCTGCTCTCTTGACATTTCGGAGGCCAGAATGCACTTTAGGAGGAGAAGATGGTCAACAAGTGATAGTACATCCACCTGAGGTTTAGCTCATTTTAATTTATTGTTGGTTCATGTGGTGTAGTGGCTCTATTGGGTGTCAGAGTTTAGTATCTGTTATTTGTTAGTTAGTTGTCATTGAATCAGCCTTACATTTTGTGGTTGTGGTTTGGAAATTCTTCTTGCTATGGGTTTCTTTTGTATGTATTATGCTGCATATATCAGTAAATTAGGCTTGCCCCATCCATCTTGTATGTTACGAGCTAACCGTTAAGTGTTCACCTTCAACCTAAGATTCTAGTACATTGACTTTTAGATGAAACTATGAGATTAAATGAAACTATGAGATTGATAGGAAAAGGAAAGAGAGCAGGCCAAAATTTAATGCGTCAAATGTGTTAAAGTGCCACTAATGTATTAGAATTGCATAGAAAATTGCATTTCCGAAAATATTCAGAATTTTCATAAGCTTCCTCTGGATACAACTATATTGGCCTGATACAGAGAGTAGCACTGTAGAACCACAGCTTTATACTTGTTTTTATAGTCCAAAGCTGAGATTGTTTAGAACTCCCTGTATTCTTCCTTTCTCACATTAAATATAGGCTATAACGTTCTTGTTTGCTTGCTCAATGACATTCATTTTAATTTATTCTAAAGTTCAGTTTCTAAGATTTCTCATATTGTTCATTTCTTATTCTTGCTTTATTCTGGCAGGTGAAAGAACCGCTTCCTTTGATAGTGCATCATCTTCCTATAGCAGTAACCTTTGCATTTTTTAATGGTGAGCGCAGCATGGTAGGTAAAGTTAGTCCTATGAATTCTTTTCTTTTTTTTTTTTTTTTTTTTTTTTTTTTTTTTTTTTTGCCGTTAGAATCCCTTAATTCATATTTTCACATATGGTTCCATAATTTAGTGGTCAATTTTTTTTTTTTTTTTTTTTTTTTTTTTGCCGTTAGATCCCTAATTCATATTCACATATGGTTCATAATTTAGTGGTCAATTAATGTAAATGAGTGCCATGTAGGTAGTAGATCCAACCCATAATGAGGAGGCTGTTATGGGAGGACGAATGACTGTTACAGTGAATGCAAATGGTGATATTTGTGCTATTCAAAAAGCTGGAGGAGAGGGTGTGATGCAGAGTGATATAATGCGCTGTTTGCGACTTGCATCCAGGAATTCTGAGTCTATAACAAAGAAAATAAAAGATGCAGTAAGTTCCTTCAGAAATAGATTGATTTAAGGAATGAAATTTCTGTTCAGATTTTTTCATTTGATAGTCCTTTTTGTACGTTCTTCATTTAAATCTCTTATTACCTGCCTGAACTATCATTCTATTTCTCTCCCTATTATGGAATATTTCAATTGAGCGTGGGATGACAATGTTGAGTTGGGGCTACTTAATTCTAGGTACAGTTGAAACTATATTTTATTAATTCTAGCATGCGGTTCATCATGGTCTACCATCAGCACGTTTAATCTAAGAAACTGATGCTTTGCTGATGTTCAGTACCTTCCTATTCAATTTTCAGCTTTTTTGCTAGCAAGTAACAAGGCAATGTGTGGAAAAGCAAATTTCATTGTGATCTTATGCTTGAATGTTTCATGCTCCAGTTGAGAGCATTATGGAGTTAAGTTTTGCAGTTGTATTTAAATAGCTTGAATAAAATTTAGCGTGGTTAAGACTTAAGATTTAACTAAGTGACAAAAAGATCATTACAAGCTGAAGCAATTTCACGTTGCTTCAATTTTTTTTTTTATATATTTAAAAAATTATCAAAATATAAATGAGTTTTATCTCAATATTATGACAATCATCTCCTGAACTTTGATAACAATTGGCCTCAAAAATTAGTGATACTAACTTTATTGAAATAAAAGGAGGTGATTTTGATGGATTGTAATAATTATAAGTTCAATTGCTATATGTGAAATCCTAATTTATAAATTAGGTGTTAATTAGTATTTAAGGACAACTAATATTTGCTAATGTGTCATCTTAAATGGTAAATTTACAATATTGCATTATTTGAAAGTAATTATGAAATTTATTATTTTCTATAATTAAAATATTAAATAAGATAAATAGACTATAGAAAAAGTTCTTAGATATTTGAAAATACTCTGCACATAATTAGAGTCTTGGAATAGAATTTAAAATAAAAATTTTAATAATATTGACTAATTGTTTAACTTATTCGTTCAATTGACATGATAATGTTAAGGCTTGATATTAGTTTTTTGAAAAATGAATTTAATAATGTAAGCCAATAATTTAAAAGGTGATAAGAAAAAAAAAATAGAAATTTAACTAGCATTTATAGTTAAATCCACAAATAAGTAAATGGATAAATTGTTTAATTTAAAAAAAAGAGTTAGCCCTTAACTAAAAGGGGAAAATTTTCTCTAAAAACACAAAAGAGAAGAAAAAAAAGGAAAGAATAAAAGAGGTAGGACATATTATATAAGGCTCAAATTGCTTGGTTATTCATCCATGTAAAAGCTAAGCTAATCTTGGGCCAACCACCAGGCATTGTTCCACTGAAAGGAGTTTGGGCTTTAGTATGCATAATAATGATATAAAGGGAAGTTTTTGCTTGAGCCTGCTTTAGTAATGCACCTAAAGCCTCCAATTTAATTCTCAGAATACAGCCAATGGTTTCATCAGGCTGGAATTATTTGTTCTGATAACATCAATCTTTTCAATTGATACTACCATATCGATTTCTAGATTGGTTTGTCAAAAGGTGAATTGAAAAGGAAATATACTTTGACACAACCATCTGGTTTTCTGTAACTTCTAGAAGCATGTCTAGGATCCATTCCCATGTCATTTGGTGCCCTTTTTATATTTGTAGCAGTCCCTTTGGTGAATGGCAAAGAGTAGTGGTGCGCATTTCCTCATGTAATTTTATACTTGTTTGTAGCAGCATTTATCTGGTACATTTTTTCTTGCTTCATACCTCATCTCTTCTAACATGATTTTGTAGGTTGAAACATACAACACTGCGAGAGCATTACGCAAGATCAAGCGCCAGTCTTCTGTTGCTGAAAATGTTAATATAGCTGGAGATAATGGCAGAGAGCATGAAAATAAATCTTTCATGTGCAAGGGAATTACTGAGTTGTCAAGGCACCAGATAGAGAAATTGAAGATAAAAGCTGAGGAAACCTGCATCAGAAATAATGATGCTGATACTGGTCTCAGATCATCTCAACAAGGTGGAACCACTTTCAGAGATGGCAATGCTTCAAATTTTCTTGGGGGCCTCTCAAGCTGGTATGCGATTAGTCCTTTCCAAAGTCTAATTTTGTGTTTTGCATTGTCAAGAACCTGTTGTAGAAAGTAAAAGAAGACACTGAATCATCTTTAAGAGTTATTGTTATGAGTTCAACTTAGTAGCTTTTCTTCCCCTTCTTTCTCTATTAATACAATTTTTTTTCCTATAAAAATTTTATGAGCTTAACACTAGCAGATGTATCTTTTGCTAATTTAACTAGCTTACTCAAAGATTTGAGCGACTGAAATTTTTTGTGGAGATAGATATAAGGCATTCATATACGTTTGGAAGAAATTTTTGCAGTTGTCATGTAAGTGTATTATTACTAGGGATAAACTAATAATTGTATGATAAAAGCAATACTATAAATTTATATGAAATAATGTTTATATTTGTGGTTTCTGGTTTTCATTGGAAGGAAACTGAAATTTAACCATAATCTCAAATTTCAATTTCTTTAACTGAAATGTGTATTTCTAATTGATAAATCAAACCAATTGCCTAATTTGGTTTGATGACAACTTTTTAGCATGTAGGGGTGAGCAATTGGTTGGTTTGGTCGGTTATTGGTTGATTTTCAGATTAACCCAACATTTTTTTATGCAGGAGCATCCAGATTAAATTAGAAAGTCTTTTGTTTTCCTTCTTTAGTTAAGATTCCTACAAAATATGTTAATTTAATTAAGAAGTAATAGTTTTCCTTCTTTATTTAGAATTCCTATCAGTCCTCTGCTCTACCTGCTGAGCTATCCTAACCATTTTCAAACGTGACTTCTTCCTCATTTTTAATAGAATATTAACTAATTAGGAATATTTTTCAGTATAGAATTTGGGTTTGTCCTAAATACTATAAATAGCACAGCAATGGTTAGTTTATTTATTGTATTTTTCTTTTTCAATTTAGAATTTTAATTCTAAGGTTTTCTTTGAAATCAGTTATGTTATTTTATTCCAACCACAATATTCTAGGCTAATTGTTGAAAACTAATTGCCTAAATTATTCCGCTACATCACTAATGATAACATTTTTCCTTCTCAGGGATCCTTATTCAAAGGACATTTATTTGGATTCCTCAAAAGCTTCTGTAGGCTCACAGGGTATGTAACTTGGAACATTGACCATAGAAGTACAGGAAATTGCATCTTTGCTGCTGCTAGTAATTTATATTGTTCATTGTTCTAACACAAGTAGATATATTACACTGTCTGAAGCAGAAATTGGTACAGAAAGTAATTGGAAGTAAAATGTGAATTGGCCCCTTTTCTTGTTGGAGTGGCAATCAGTGAAATTCTCCGGCAGAACATTCTACCTAGTTTTAGAGAGGCCATGGGATGGCCATAAGGTGTTTTACATTTATGGGCGACAGGAAGACTATAGGTTAGGGCCCAGTCAATGCCAGAATTAGAACTGTCTGGTTTCATCAGAATCCAGCTGGTTTTCCTACTGTTTCTGCCAGAATGGAGTTTCTCTGATCGGTGCTCGTTTCAAGACATAAAGTTCTTTTTTTTTTTTTTTTTTTTTTTTTTTTTCGGTGCTCGTTTCAAGACATAAAGTCTTTTTTTTTTTTTTTTTTTTTTTTTTTTTTTGAACTGGTTTCAAAATGGGTTCTGAACTGGAACACAAATCCTTGGTTCCAACTGAGGGTTTCATATTTGTTCCATTTTTTTTTTTTCTGGCTCCTCCCAGTTCAGAAACGAATCATGGCTTATAGGTCACCTTCTTGTTCCACTGCTTTGTAGCTGGAGATTTATTGTGTTCTGATTTTTAGTTTATTTTATTGATCCAGATGATACCTTTGTTCTATTCTGAAAGCATTGAGCTTTCAATAGCATCCTAAGCAAGTTCTCTTGAGTTCACTCTGGTTCTTGGTTGAGCATGTTACTCTCTTGTTTTGTCATTTTTGTGTTCTTTTAAAGTTTTTGAGTCCTCGATCCTTGTTCTACATATAATTTATTCTTTAGCAGAAAATATTGAAATTTGATAGTTATCTGAAGTTTTTCTTTAAACTTTGTGTCTTTAAAGAGTTCCTGGTGAGTTCCCCCCCCCCCCCCCCCCCCCCCCCCCCCCCCCCCCCCCCCTCTCCTTTGCTGTTCCTGCCTTGGGTTTTTTTCCCCCCCCCCCCTCTCCTTTGCTGTCTGGCCTTGTGTTTTTCCCCATCAATTTACAATTTTGTTTTATGAGAAAGGATTACATTTGCCTAACATGACATGACTTACATCTCTGTGCTCTATAAAATCACAGAACAGAATTGAATCTCATCAATTCTGGAGAAGAGCAACCTAGTTTGCTTTCCCTTTGGTTGTCAATGCAACATCTTATTGATGAATGGAAAATCTGTGTGCAGTAGTCTCATCTAGTGTTGTAATATATTAGAAGGCACACAGCCCAATCATTTTCTGAATCCAGCATCACACAATCCACTTGGGTGATATCATGTCAGAAGGAGATGGGAGAAACCTGGCAGAAACTGACTTGTATTATGTGTGAAACATGCAGGACTAGCAACACCTGTTGAACAAAAAGGTGAACGAAAGAGCATTCAAGCTAACCAAGAGAAAGCTCCTGAAGATACTAAGCCAACTACTCCAGCTGCTGATACATCAGAAACTGGTCTTCAAATGAGTGAAGCGAAGACTTTGAAAGATGCTATAAAGCCCAAGAACAAGAGAAGAAAAAGGACGTCTTCCAGCATGAATGCAAGTTAGATGAACTTCTAACACAAAAAAGTCTTCACTCTTCATCTTGTCATGTATGTTTATTTAATTTCTTTCTAGGATTATAATCATTCTATATTTATTTCTCATCAATCTTATGTCCAAAGAATGATATTTGAACTCATTAATTTGATGAGCTGTTTATTAGTAGAAAATAGTGGGCCATGTTAAACCTCATTGCAGTAAAAAAAGGGGGGAAAGAAATCTGAGATTCTGTTTTTTGATTTTCAAAATCGTGAAAATGGTCAACCCTACTTTTGCAGATGTCTAGACCCCTTCTGCCTCTTGGGTTAGCTGCTTTAGTTTTTATTTTATTCAAGTGTGTTGTTTCCTTAAGCTTTACATGGTTAACTTCTAGTTGATTCCTTTGCAGCAGATTCTTGAGATCTGGGTTCCTGCATCTCCGATTTGTTAAGTTGGAGGGAAAATGGTGTTGGAAACTTTATTCCTTTCTCTGTGGTGGGTGACACAGAGGGCCTACGGCTGCCAGAGTAAGCTGAAGTGAAAACCAGAAAGATACCTTACCTATCACACTAAAGATTTGGCATTGTTGCCTACTAAGGTGTAAGGTATGTCATGTTGACGAAATGGATATTGGTACATTTGGCATTGCACTGTCAAGTTGTATCTCCTGGGTTATGTTTGGAATTTAGATTGGCTAACGTGGTAGATCGCGATATGTTTAGAATTTAGATTGGCTAATGTGATCGAGATTAAGCTTGACTACATGGGCAATGCTGTGATTATGCATTGACTACATGTGATTAAGCTCAAATTTTGTATTCTACTCTTTTAAATATTTATATGCGACATGCTTTCCTTGAACTTAAAGCTTGAATACACAAAGCTATAAAAGAGAAGATGAACATTGTTTTAGAGTAAATGAATTGTTAAAATGTTGTTTCTTTGAGAAATTGACAAATTGTTAAGTTTGAACCCACAAAATCAGGTGAGAACTTGATATGTCTGCCAACCAGTTATTTTCTAAACAGTAGCAGATGAGGCCTTGATATGTCTGCCAACCATTTATTTTCTAAACAGTAGCAGATGAGGCCTTTTAAAAAAGCAAATATTGTGACTTACATATCTACGGTCTTTGTTGGCTTGTGTTGAATCATGCCATAGTTTTCATTATTCAATTATGCAATTGGTAATTCATTTGTTGTTTGCAAGGCAAATTTAAAGCCATTGATGACATACTGCAGAGATGGCAAGTAACATGCACAAAATTTGACTACGGCCCTACCTGCTAATGCTTTGAAAGGTTCCTTTGCGCAGTGGTCTTTATTGGTGATATAACAGCTATTCTATAAAAAACTCCTTTTAGAGTGGTAAGAAATAGTTCATGAAACTGAGGGGACGTGTTGAATAAAGAAAAGAAAATTACTGTAACACCCTTCAGGTTTACCATAGTTGGCACATTGGCCCTTCTGTCCTAAAATTAGCATTTTTTTTCATTAAAAGGTCCAATGGACCGAAACAATATAATGTGCTGCACAATAGGGGGTAGCTCTCCCATTGACTCACCAAATTGGTGAAACTCTTTTTCAACTCTTCACACTAGTGAAAAGACTAATAAGACCATACTTTGGTTAGCTAAACTTGACATTTTTTTAGTGCTAATGACCCATTAGTTTAGTCCTTGATTTTTTAGTTTATACTTCACTTTGACCCTCATTCGAACATACATGTATTTTCAGTCTTTGAACCATTATGTTATGAAACATTACTTTCAAAATGTAGTAATTTCTCTGATGTTTGTTTGGGGACCAATGTTAATTTTGAAATAGCAGGGATTAGAGTGCTAATAAAGTCTCTGGGGTTATTATGGTAATTTGATCGTACTAAGGAGTGCAACTAAATTCGCAAGACTCATGCTATTGCTACCTTTTTATTAATGTGCATGCAGGAAGCTGAACAAATATGGATGGATTGATCTAATATTTTATGGAATGGCAACCGCGAATTGGCAAGTATTATTGAATTTTAAGGAGTTCATATAGTTACACCGAAGCACCCTCTTTAAGGAGTTCATATTTCCTCTTGTTAATTTTTTCCCCTTTAGAATTCTCCGCAATTCCCTCATTTTCTCAGGCACCAAACATGGTACTTATATCATAAATTAAATGTCATAAACAGGGATAAAAAAAAATCTTGATGGGGATTATAACAGGCGCTGGAATTCAAGGAGTGATGATGTTAAATGGAGGGTTCTTTCGGTTACCTGAGGATCTTCCTAAGCCTTTCTGGAGATATCCAATGTACTATATTGCATTTCATAAGTATGCAAATCAAGGATTTTATAAGAATGAGTTTGAAGGATTGACATTTCCTAATGATAAAGTTGGCGGGCCAGCTAGAGGCCTTTTAAAAAAGCAAATATTGTGACTTACATATCTACGGTCTTTGTTGGCTTGTGTTGAATCATGCCATAGTTTTCATTATTCAATTATGCAATTGGTAATTCATTTGTTGTTTGCAAGGCAAATTTAAAGCCATTGATGACATACTGCAGAGATGGCAAGTAACATGCACAAAATTTGACTACGGCCCTACCTGCTAATGCTTTGAAAGGTTCCTTTGCGCAGTGGTCTTTATTGGTGATATAACAGCTATTCTATAAAAAACTCCTTTTAGAGTGGTAAGAAATAGTTCATGAAACTGAGGGGACGTGTTGAATAAAGAAAAGAAAATTACTGTAACACCCTTCAGGTTTACCATAGTTGGCACATTGGCCCTTCTGTCCTAAAATTAGCATTTTTTTTCATTAAAAGGTCCAATGGACCGAAACAATATAATGTGCTGCACAATAGGGGGTAGCTCTCCCATTGACTCACCAAATTGGTGAAACTCTTTTTCAACTCTTCACACTAGTGAAAAGACTAATAAGACCATACTTTGGTTAGCTAAACTTGACATTTTTTTAGTGCTAATGACCCATTAGTTTAGTCCTTGATTTTTTAGTTTATACTTCACTTTGACCCTCATTCGAACATACATGTATTTTCAGTCTTTGAACCATTATGTTATGAAACATTACTTTCAAAATGTAGTAATTTCTCTGATGTTTGTTTGGGGACCAATGTTAATTTTGAAATAGCAGGGATTAGAGTGCTAATAAAGTCTCTGGGGTTATTATGGTAATTTGATCGTACTAAGGAGTGCAACTAAATTCGCAAGACTCATGCTATTGCTACCTTTTTATTAATGTGCATGCAGGAAGCTGAACAAATATGGATGGATTGATCTAATATTTTATGGAATGGCAACCGCGAATTGGCAAGTATTATTGAATTTTAAGGAGTTCATATAGTTACACCGAAGCACCCTCTTTAAGGAGTTCATATTTCCTCTTGTTAATTTTTTCCCCTTTAGAATTCTCCGCAATTCCCTCATTTTCTCAGGCACCAAACATGGTACTTATATCATAAATTAAATGTCATAAACAGGGATAAAAAAAAACATTCTGTTGTGCTAGCATAATTAAATACATAGAAAATAACGAGCTGACAGTTATTCCAGTTAAATTACACAAGCAGGCCTAATTATACACTACAAAAATTACCAAACACAACAAACAAGATAAAGCTCACGTCATTTAACCATTCCTTATGGGTCATCACTAGCCACTGGCAACTTCTCATATGCCTCCAGCTCCTTCAATCTCTTAGGCAAGAAAAACCGCCCGCCGTTTCGCTGCTGCAGATAAACAATTGCAGCAAACACCAGACCTCCCAAAGGAATGATCAAATCCCAAGAAGTAGAGTAATAATCTACAGAAGGATTTGCATACATGTATGACCATTCAAAATCTTCAGAATAGTAATGTGCCCTATAAAGATCATATGCATGTGGTATCAGGCGCACAAATGTAGTCCCTATGTAAAAGAAGCAAGAGAGAGCATTTTCTCTTGAGTTGTTGAAAATGTTGACAATGATTTGAGGAAGAAGGAAACTGTCTAGTACTAATCCTGCATAAGACCTTAGGTCTACCCAAAGGGAATGCTGGTTAGTACTGCTGCTAATGTAGTAAGGAGAATTTCTTTCGTGGCCAAATTCGTAATCCTTCCAATTCACAGACAAAGCAATCGAAGCGCCGAGCACATATAGTGGAAGACACACAAAAGCTGTTTTCTTCTCAGCAATCCATGACGCCTTCGAGTTTCCTTCGGTCAATCTTGCAGACCATACAAGCTGCAAAAGCCGGACTTGTAACAGAAATGATACCATTGTAATCACTCTTACAATCACTTCATTTAATTCAAGCCATCCGCCGCTCCTGCGAAGGTAAGATTGACGATTTTCCTTTGAAAAGAATAAGGCTTCGAAGTTTAGCATGAGAGGAAGCATTTGTCCCAGAATAAGTACTATCAGCATAAGAATTGAGACAAAAGGGAACATGTTAGGATTTTTCTTCACATAAAAGATTTGATATCCTACAAAGAAACATAGAAGGGTATTAGAGATTAAAGCCATTATAATCTCGAAATCCATCCTCCATATCGACTCTCTGGCATGGCGATTATAGTAGGAAACTGCAGAAAAAGAAAGAGGCTGCAAGTACAAAGGATCAGATTCTTCCCTTGTGCTATTTATATGTCCTTGTATATAATTGTTTGAGTCTACTGTAGGAAACTCAACATTAACAAGAATTTCACAGTCCACATCATATTTTGGTATTTGATTATTCGAGTCGAGGTATCTGCAGCCAACCAAACACATAACTCCTGTTTCAGCATCATAAATCCCTTCAGCAGAAAGTTCAACTTGAATTTGCTCATTTGAAGAGGCATTCAAGAACGGGAAATTTATATTGTAGCTGATTTTCAAAGAGCCACTCTGTTGAATTTTCGCTGGCGTTGAGTTTGAAAATAGCATGGAGTTCCTGTACCTGTTTCGAGCGAAAATATGATCTCCCACAAAGACAGGGCGAGCATAGCCATAACCAACTCTTTTTCCACTAGAATTCTTGAAAGACATATCAAATTGCATTTCATTTGAATCTGGATCTGGGTACTGGCTTCCTTTCTTTCTACTAGGCTGCTTCTCTGGGCATGACTTTCTTGCCTTGTCAACCAAACTATATTCATACTTCAATCCTGGAATCCCACGTACTTGTTCCATGTAATTTTGGAATCTGATCCTTTTGAAATAACCCAACTCATTTCTACGCTTTTTGCTCCAAATATTTCCTACGATATCACTAATGTTTCCGATAGACCAAACAGAAGGGAATCTGAAGCTCATCCTAATTGAACAGTCCTTAACAATAGAACTATTCAAAGAACTTGTTGCAGCCGAGATTCGACAAGCAACAACACACAACTTATTTTCCTTAGCATTCCATGATCCTTCTGCAATAAAAGTTGCATTTGGATTGAAAGGGAGGTAATAATCAGCATAACTACTGTTGGGGAATTCTAACAAAAACCTCAGGCTCGGTTTGTCACTTGAACATTGAATTAAATTCAAAGACATTAGTCGAGGCAAATATCCAACACTATCACCAAAAGGATTACAATTTTTTGCGGAATCACAATCGCTTGCATATAATAGTTTGAATGAATTGCTCCCACCCGAAAATATAGAGCAAATAGACTTACTTAACGGTAAACTAAGTGAAATTTTTGCAGTATCAGTCTCACCAGCACACACAGAATCTGGTTCTTTTGAAACTTCAGTGTATGCATATTTCATTAGAGGAAACATCAAGATCGAAATGGGTTCAAAATGATTCAAACCATCGGCAGAACTCAAGCTCACTAATGTTCCTTTAATCAAACTAGTTATAGTACTTTCACTCTTAACATTATCAAGCTTAAGAACAGCATTGTGTAGACGATGAGCTTTACCTTGTTCTGAGTAAGAAGAACTCGAACCGACCATACAAAGCTGTCCAGTTGATTTTGACCAGAACCCTTCAACTTGGAAACTAAGAGCACCCCTCTCAGACCAACTAGAAATGACTTGTGGAGAATAAGAATAACTATATCTAACATCTTCAACATAATAACTAGTTCTTGAAGGTTGAAGTATCAAACTACCCTCAACCTTATAGACACCATCAACATTAGTACTATGAACATGATCAGTTTGAAATACTAAGACTTTCCTGGTAGTTGATGAGTAGTAGTAGAGAGTTGAGTTTGGATGCTCGAAAATTCCATCCCCACCAAGGTAGTAACCATCCTGGTTTGGTGGAAAAGGGATGGTAGTGAGTTCAGGAGAAGTAGTAGTTGATTCAGGAACAATAGAGTTGCAGTAATCACGGTAATTCGGAATGTCAGGATGGGAGGAAGAGACAACATTTGCACAAAACAAAGTGACCAAAGTTAAGAATTCTGCAATTTGAAGCCATGCTCTTGAAGAGGAAAACATAGAACAACTCATAGCTATAAGAGTGAAGAGGTTAAGTGAGGGACTGAATTTTGAATGGAAATGAAGAGCCCATATATAGACTGATGAACGTAGGAGCTGATTCTTAATCACTCCATGTAAGTCTTCTTTGATTGTATTAACAAAATTAAGGCTCATATCCGTGTCTGACAGGCCCACAAAGGGACAAATTGCTCCATTACAAGTGCTTAAAGGGTTTTCACAAGTCTATGAACCTAGAATGTGGGTGTATTGCGTAAAGAAGACTTGCATAAGTCATAAGCTCCAAGAAAAAAGAAATCAAAATAAAGAAATAAAAAAGATAAGAAAAATTCTCACTAGGAATCAAATAATTAAAGGCATTAATGTCAAGGAAGACTTAGAAATTTATAAGTCAACAGAAAATTTCCACAAAGACTTTGAAATTTCTACGCAGATGAGAAGTTTCTACGTAAATCCTATACCACCTACGCACCTATAACAATAGCCTTTGCCCATCCCATGGGGCAATATAGACAAAACAATTGGGGTCCAATAAATTCATTTAAATTTAAATTTATTATTCGAAGACCTACCCATTCAACACTTCCATTGATTAGGTTGGCTTACCGCTAGATCCAACAATTTTGGATTGTTAAAGAAAATTAAGAAAATTGAGAATTTTTGTTTGCATTCGTTTGTTTCTTTGTGGCAGCCATATGCTATTTTTTATAGAAAACACAAAAATTAATAATTTTTGATTTGTTAATATAGAATTTTTGGTTATTTCAATTCGGTTGAATCTTGTTTTATTAAAAAAAAATCAAAAAAATCAAATCAAATTGAAATAAATTAAACCAGATTTTAAATTAAATTCAAAGTAAAACAAATATTTTGTCATTTTCAAAGTTTATTGGTTTGATTCAGTTTCATTATTAAAAAATTCATTTAATTTGATTTCAACTATTTTTCACCCAAATTAAACCTTACCACCACAAGCTACACACAATAGATAGTCTTCTCCTAAACTCATTAAATTAGTGAAAACACTTGTGGTCGTGAGAACAACCACTCAAGATCTCTCACTCCTAATATGAGTGAGAAAATCAACCAGACCACAGCTAATTGGCGAAACATATTTTTGTTTTAAAGATTAGGGCCGAGCATAAATGTTTGATTTATTTATTTTAGGTAAATATTTGAATTAGGGCAAAGCTCAACAACTGAATCAAAACAGCACAATTTGATTCAATATTTTACATGAATCAATTTGGTTTTGATTACATTTTTTTTATCATACTAAGAATAAAAACATAAAAAAATTAATTTAAAAATTTTCAATAGCTACTTAAAATCATGTGTATTTTATGGTATAGTTTGTATTAGTTCATTTTCATATTTAGTATAATGTTAATCTTTTTTTTTTTTTCTTATTAACTAGCTGAATAAGGAAGTTTAATTTCACTTCTTTCAGACCACCCAAATCATCAGCGAATCAAACCAAATATTTAGTTTGCTTTGAAAGTTTTGATGGTTTTGGTTTGATTTTAATTTTTCCAATCTGCCAGTTTAGATTTGGTTTGATTATTGTATTCAAACCAAATTAAACCAATCCACGAACAACTCTACTTGTTGTGTAACCTATCATATCATTTTTGAACTATTTGCCTCCTAACGAATAAAAAAAAAAAAAAAACATCGTTACTTAAATATCAAAAATTAGATTTTCACACACTAAAATATTTTATAAGGTTTCAGGTTTAGTGTGATGTATTTTAGAAGGAAAACTGATTTTTTTTTTTTTGTTATTAAACTTATATATAAATATGGCTAGCATGTAGATATAGATCATATATAATATCTAAACATACAACATTGTTTTATATGAATCCTTTTGTTCCTTCTAATTCTTGTTCGACCCTAATGTTGAAAAAGACTAATTATTTTAGAGGTCCGTGAGTCTCTCTCCCTCCCTCATTATACTCAACAACTATTATTAATTGGTTTGTCTATATATATGTATGAGTTCCTCCTCCTATGGAAATTCAAGCCTCATCACTAACACTTAGCTAAGAGTTACTTCATGGCTACCTCTCCAAGAAAATGGTATCAACTATCAACAGTTTTTGCTCTTACCACTCTGTTATACACAAATATGGTATCTTGCTCTCAATCTGACATGCCTAGTTACCGTGATCATTGTGCCTCTATCGTTCTTGAATCAACCTCTATTGCTCCTGAAGTCACCACCATCCCTTTTCCTCCAAACCAAGATGGTTACTACCTTGGTGGGGATGAGATGTTGAAACATGCATACTCATCTCGTCACTATTATCGATCAAATTACAGAAAAATTCTTCTATTCCGTACTCATCATGTATATAGTACTAAAGCTGATGGTGTCTACAAGGTCGAGGCCAGTTTGCTTTTCCAACCTTCCCGGATCATACAAAGTTTCTCAGATTCTTCTCTGGTGATTTCGACTTGGTCTGATAGAGGTGCTTTGAGTTTTGATATACAAGGGTTCTGGTCAAAATCCAGTGGCAAGCTTTGTATGGTTGGCTCAACTGCCTCTAATTCTGGAGAAGGCAAACTTCAAGGCCTTTCTGTTCTTATTAAGCTCAATTCTGTTGAAATTTCAAGTTCTATTACTAGTTTGGTTACCGGAACATTGGAAAGTTTGAGTTCTGCTGATGATTCAAGCTATTTTCAGCCTATTTCTTTTTTGATGTTCCCTTTAATGAATTATACATATACTGAGGTTTCAAAAGAAGTTGATCATGGATGTTCCGGTGAGGTTGATGATACTGCTACTGCACAGAATTCACTCAGTTTACCATTGAGTGTTTCTATTTGTTCAGTATTTGGTTATCGGACTAATTCATTTAAACTGGATTATGCAAGTTCTTGCAATTCTTCAAAAAGTTGTAACCTTTTTAGCAATGGTTTTGAATACTTGCCTCAAGTCATGTCCATAACTTCGATCCAATGTTCTGCTGATAAACTAAGTCTGAGACTTCTGTTAGAGTTTCCTAACAGTACCTCTTTTCGTCATTACAACTCTTTCAATCCAAACACATCATTAGTCGCCGAAGCATCATGGAATGCAAAGAAGAATCAATTATGTGTTGTTGCTTGTCGAATTTCAAGTTCAAACAACTATTATTCTTTTGATACTTCTCAAGTTGAGGATTGTTCAGTGAGGTTGAGTTTGAGATTTCCTGCAGTTTGGTCAATTGGAAATACAAGTAGCATTGTTGGAGATTTTTGGAGTACTAAAACTGTGGAGAATCCAGGTTACTTTGACAAAATAAAGTTCTATAGTTATGAAGTGACAGAATTGAGATTCCTGGATTGAAGTACAAGTATACAGTAGTTGATAAGGCAAGAAAATCATGCCCAAAGCAGACAAGTAGAAGTGAAGGAAAGCAGTATCCAACTGGGATTGATTCATATGAAATGAGTTTTTATATGTCAGTAAAGAGTTCCAAAGGAAAAAGATTTGGATGGGGAAATGCATATCCTATCTCTATGGACGATAAAATTGCTGAAAGGAATGTGTTTTACAGATCAGGTCTACAACTAGAAAACTCAAAGAAAGAAACAAAACTCAAAGCAATGAACATCAGCTACCAAATAAGCTTGACATCATATAATGCTTCTTCAATGGAGTATAAAAATGAGCAAATTTCAGCCGAAGGAACTTACGATGGTGAAACGGGAGTTATCTGTATGGTTGGCTGCAAATATCAGACTTCAGCAAATGAGTCAATGGACTGTGAGATTCTTGTTCATGTTGAGTTTTCTGCTACAAATTCAAAAGATTATATTGAGGGACGAATTCAAAGCACACGAGAAAAGTCATCTCCTCTATACTTTGAATCGCTTTCCTTTTCTGCAGTTCCTTATTACAGCCAAAAAGAGTCAATATGGAGGATGGATATGGAGATCATAATGGCTTTGATCTCTAATACGCTTGTTTGCATTTTTGTCGGATATCAAATCTTGCACATGAAGAAAAATCCAAGTGTTTTCCCTTACATCTCACTTGTAATGCTTGCAGTACTTACACTTGGGCGCACGATCCCTCTAATGCTAAACTTTGAAGTCTTGTTCTTGTCAAAGCAAAATACTCAACGTTTGCTTCTTGGAGGATGGCTTGAAATGCATGAGGTGATTGTAAGAGGAGTAACAATGGTAGCATTTTTGCTGCAATTCAGGCTTCTGCAGCTTGTATGGTCCGCCAGATTGGCTGATAAAAACCAAAAGGCCTCATGGATTGCTGAGAAAAAGGCACTATATGTGTCTTTGCCATTATATATAGCTGGAGGTTTGATTGCTTTGTTCTTGAATTGGAAGATCAATAACAAATTTAACGACGGAATGGGTTCAACAAGCTTTTATGGTCATCAACATTCAGTGCTGGTGGACTTAAGATCTTATGCAGGATTAGTACTAGACTGTTTCCTTTTCCCTCAAATCATCTTTAACATTTTTCTAAACTCAAGAGAAAAAGCTCTCTCTTCTTTCTTTTACATGGGGACTACATTAGTACGCTTGATCCCACATGCATACGATCTTTATAGGGAACATTACTATTTTGATGATTTAGATTGGTCATATATGTATGCTGAGAAAGCTGCAGATTTTTTCTCCACTGCCTGGGATGTGATTATTCCCTTAGGAGGTCTTTTTTTGGCTGCAACCATATACCTCCAGCAGCGCAACGGCGGTCGTTGTTTCTTGCCGAAGAAATTTAAGGAGCCAGAAGTATATGAGAAGTTGTCAATGGCTGACAATGCATGACAAGTGATGAAATGTATCAGTTTCTCATTTTTGAATAATCTGTGGCTTTTTGTTTGTCTTGTTGTATTTCTTTTTTCCAGGTTCTATATATATATATATATATAAAACTAGAAGGTTCAATCCCCTCACGACGTAGAGCATAAGGTTTTTAGCCTCCTCAGTAAAAAGTGCTTTTTGGGATTGAATTTGTTTTCTCATCCTTGCAGTGACAACTTGTGTAATTTTAGTAC